CGATTTGTTGCTAAAAGTTGCTAAATGACGTTGTGATGTCATTGCGTGATGACGTCATCACGTAATCACGACGCAATCATCAAATCTCAGTAAAAAAATATATTTGTATATGTTAATTTAGATTTGTTCGTAAAATAATATAAATGCATAATATAATGTTAGTATATAAATAACTTTTTATATACAACATTGGATTATTGAACATTTACACATTTTTGAACGATTACAATTTTTTTTACATTGTATTTTGTGTTTCGGTTTAACTGGTTATAATGGATAATGTCCTGGAAAATTACTAGAAGCCTACCTTTTCCATTTTTCTAGATATGTTTCTTACAGTGTATTAACAATCGCAGGTACAATTGTATCATAAATGAACAATTACTCAATTATTATTATTAAATTGAACAATTGCAAACAGCAGCTAAATTAATTCACGTGATGTGTGTAGTGCTAGGCATCTGTGGTTTCCTCTCTTTGTGTAATTTGGATGGAAAATGTGTGCCTTTTTATTGTTTGAGTCACTTATCAAAAGTTGCTAAAAGTTGCCAAATAAATTGTAAAAATAGCTACATTTGTTGCTAGGTGCTTCTGGAAGAAAACGTTAAAACGAATGCTGAACGTGTCATGTTTAACGAGACGAGTGTGAGCTCTCTAACAGTTATACTGAATTTCATTTTATGATGTCCACATGACTGTCCATAACTGTTCAGAAAACCTGTTACATGTGCGCTAGGCACAGGTGTGACTTAATGTTGACTTCTGCTAACACTCTTCTCGTCCTGTTCTCTTCGTAGGTCCGTCCAGCGAGAATCACCAGCGACAGGTAAGTGTGTTCAGTGTCTCACTGACCGTAATCTGATCATGTGACGCGCACGAGCTCACTGACGGCTCACTGACGGCTCATCTGAGGTCCACAGCTGTGTGTGGATCAGTGATGAAAACTAGCCAAATCTGAGCGTGCCGCCACACCAGTGATTATGCTAGAGAAGCTGTGTGTGTGTGTGTGTGAGAGTGTGTGTGTGTTAGAGAGTGAGTGTGTGTGTGTTAGAGAGTGAGTGTGTGTGTGAGTGTGTGTGTGTGTGTGTGAGAGAGAGAGAGAGCGAGAATCACCAGCGACAGGTAAGTGTGTTCAGTGTCTCACTGACTGACCGTAGATCATGTGACGCGCACGAGCTCACTGACGGCTCATCTGAGGTCCACAGCTGTGTGTGGATCAGTGATGAAAACTAGCCAAATCTGAGAGTGCCGCCACACCAGTGATTATGCTAGAGAAGCTGTGTGTGACATGTGTGTGGCGTGTGTGTTGATGTCTGAGCAATGATGACAGTGTTTAGCACCTGAAGTACATGAGTAACATGAGTAACGTAATGAAGGTCTCTACACTT